GACGTTACTATTAGCATATCAAAGACCGCAATAATCAATTTGCAACAAAATTGTATATACTTACATCAAATACATGAAGAATAAAGCTGGAAACACGATAGGCACAGGCAATAGGAAGGGAACAAGCCGTTTAATCAGAGTTCTGGGATATAATATCGTACTTAAACCACAGAGCTCTGATTAGACGACTCGTTATTCCCTGTTCTTTGTTCCTATTGCCTGTGCCTATCGTGTTTCGGGCTTAATTCAGTCTCCTGATTTCTATTCTTCATAGGTATTACGTATTTTACATATTTTCTGGTTTTTACCTATATAAGATGCGTTTTTTTTTTGTTTATCCTTATTTTTCGTTAATAATGAAGATAGAATAACAGAAGTAGCGAGAATAGTGTCTCTCCGAACGCACCAATAGAAGTCATAAAATTGTTTGATAGAAAGACGAAAATTACTAAACTGAAAGAAAATAAGTGAAATAACTAGAATTTTTCTAAAAAGTTTTCTAAACTAATTTTCTTTGTATCTCAATTATTATGTGGAAAGTTTAGGCTTTGCGCACAATGAAAGAAATGTTAAGAAAAAATATTAAATATTAGCGAAATAAAAAATTAGGAATAAAGACTAACATATGTCATCTTATTAATTTGTATGTATTTTACATTACGTTAATCTCTATATATTTTTAATTTTTTATTTCTTTAATATATTAATTTATCTAATATATATTATTCGTACTTTTTCTTAATATTTTTTATTGGGTGCAAGGTTTTACGATTTATATTTTATTATATTATTAATTGCTTAAAATAATTGCACATAATAAATACGCTAGCGTTTTTAGAAATGTAAAGCAGCAAACAGAATTTTATTGCAACAGCAAGTGCATTTTTCTTAGACATTGCAGTCATTGATGTACTTGAGGAATGTCGATTCACGTCACCTTTACCCTTTTGCATGAACTAAAGATAACGAAAATACATACAAGAAACGTAATAGAAAAAACGCATCTGTATGATAACATAACGTTTCGTTATAGTCATCATATCTATAGAAGATTTTATATATAAGGTCGATTTCTTGGTAAAGTAAGGCAATTGATTATAAGTTGAGTTAAACGACGATTAACACGATCAAAGAATGATCTTCAAGATGAAGTCTTGCACAGTTTTGTTATACCTGATACTGTGTGCATCACCATTTGTAATGACACAATCACAAGTGAGTACTATGTAAACAGTTGCAAATAAAAAGTCTAGATAGATTAACGTCAGTGAGGCCCAATTTTTCATTATCTGATTAACTTGTGGTTAAGTTTAA